AACTGATTCAGGTTTTTTATCAAAGTTTTTCCCCGCAGTGTGTCTTTGTTCACATTGCTTGATAAGGAATTGCCTCTGCTGAGCGTAGATAAATGTCCTATTCTGAATGCTAGCTATGTTTAAGTGTATTATCAATATGCATTTTAAATTCTAAGCTGAACTTTCTTGCATCTTAGCATATATCTGGGCTATTACCCATCAATTTCAAGTGGTGTGTCCAACCAACACTAATGTTAGATTCATTCAAACATAATCTCTGTACCTTGGACAAGGAGAGTGACCTAGAAAACATTTTGGTTTAAATGCTTACTATGCACCACATGCTATTATAAGTGCTTTGCAAATATATTAAGCCACTTAAACATCATAAAAATCCTATGAGGCAGATATTCTTATGATTCTAATTTCACATAGGAACACAGAAAGGTAATGCAACATATTCAAGGTCACACAGTGCATATGCAATCAGAAGGTTCAAATACAGGAAATCTGTCTCTAGAGGCCATGCTCCTGACCACTACTCAGTTCTACCTCACCAGTCACAATTGGGGGTATGGGTAGTGGAGATTGAACCCATGCAAAGTCCGTGCTCTGCACCCTAAGTCCTAATAACAACAACTGTTAGATTGTTTCCTTCCAAATCTTCCTGGGAGTCAGAAGAGAATTCAATGTCCTTTCAGGGTCCTCTGTACACAGTAGTTTATAAACCCAACTATTTTTTGGAGTCAAGCTCTAATTTAAAGGAGTTAGACTTTGAACTCTTCTTGAAATCAAACCATCTCATGCATGGTGAAACCCTTTTAACAATTAATAGACACTTAAAAAATGAAGGACAGAAAAGTAAAACAGGTCCTGCCTGCACTAGTAGGTAAGCACTAGTAGGAAGCGGGAGGGTAAACAGAGAGGGTGAATATAGTCCTTGTATTTTTATACATGTATGAAAATAGAACAATAAAACCTGTTGAATTGTTCTAAGTTGGGGGAGAGAGAAGGAAGAATGATGGAGGGGTGTACCTAATCAAGCTTCTTCACCATGTCTCAGCTCAGACACCACCTTCCAGAGGGATCTTCCCTGACCTGTCTGAAGTACCATCCCCCCTCCTGCCTATTCACATTCTAGCACATTAATCTGCTTCATTTTCTTCTTGGTTCTTATTATTACCTGAGTTCCTTTTTTGGTTACTTATTTATTCTTAGTCTCCCCTCTTGACTACAATGTAAGCCAAGAGCAGAAACAATATGTTTCATTGCTGTATACCTGCCCCCAGAACTCTGCTTGACATTTAGAAAGTGCTTAATAAATATTTGTTGAGTGAGAGAATTAATGCATTTGATGCCTGAATATTTTTGGATGGAAATCCTTAACCCTTTTTTCACCTCATTTTTATGTATCCTCCCTACACAATTTCATCTACTCCTGTGGCTTATTCTACCACTCTCATTATTTCTCTCCACATTAGATGTTTGTTTCTGAAATGACCAGCTCACAGCTGTATCTGACTTATTTTTGTTTCCTATTATTGTTTAACTTTGACTTCCAAAATAAAAGATTTTTTAATCTTTGAATAATAAAAGCCAAAGAAACCTGCATTAATATTATAAAATACTGATACATTTTAACATTTTGTATTTAGAAGGGTCTTAGAGTCATCTATTCCAAATGCATGACTTGAAATGTGATGAAGAATTTGAAGTTCAAGATAATGACTGCCTATGCGGATTATAGACCCAAAACAAATGCAGTAATGCTATCACACATGGGTCCCACACTAAGGGGAGAATGTGCACGGGAGGAATAGGGAAAGGAAAGGAAACCTACAACTTGAATGTGGTTGATGTGCTCCCTGTTGAGGAGTGAATAAAGTAATCTTAATACAGCAGAAGCCACTATGCGACGGGAACGAAGAAGTAGCAAAGAGGTCTGGTAGAAATGAACCAATGTGGGTTGCAATACACAAGTGCCTTGAAGCAATGCTAGGAATCTCTCTGTATAGCTATCTTTATTTCAAACTAGCAAGAACACTATGTCTTTCTTATTATCTCCTATGTTTACTCTTCAACAAAATGGGAGAAGAGGAGCGTGGAAAAGGATTTGTCTGGAAGCAGGGGGGTGGAAGAGGGAAGTGGCACAAAAACATAAAATAAAAGGAGAAAGAAAAAAGATAATGACTGCCAAAAGTCTCAGAGCTAGCATACAGTAGAACCCTAAATTCCCAGGGACATTCTTCTTTCTACATTATTGCTATTTGCCTACTTAGACTCTACCTCACCTTTTGCTAATATATGTGTATGTGTGTGTATGTATATATCTCCATATCTGTATAGAGAGATAATTCACAGACCATCATACATCATTTAAAAGTATGAAATGCAGTGCTTTTAGAGTATTCATAGCATTTTGAAGTCATCATCACTTTTTAATTTTAGGGCATGTTCAATGCTCCCAAAAAACCCTCATAGTAGTCACTCCCTACAGTCCCCTACTCCAAACCCCCTCCTCTTCTTCGACACTAGAAACCATTAATCTACTTTCTATCTCTATGGATTTTCCTATTCTGAATGTTTTACATAAATGGAATCATACAGTATATGTCTTTTTATGTCTGACTTCTTTCAATGTTTTCAAGGTTCATCCCTGTTGTACTATTTGTTATTTTGTTTTGTTTAACCAAACCCCTTTCTCCAACTACCTTGCCCTAGTATATGTGTCTGGGCACAAATTAAACTGTGAACATCCTGAAAGCCAAAGTCAAAAAAGAAAAGCACAAATCTACTACTCAGCTCTAGTTAGTTATAAAGGCAGCACAAAGTTTATCACATACACAGTGTTTTCCTTGCTCTCTTATTTTCACGATGGCCAGCTTCCCTTGGGTCAGACATTCTGAGCCATGCTGAGCAGAGCAAGAGGAATGCCTTGTGCAGCCTCTGATGCCTCTTCTCCTTCTATGCACAAGGATTGTTTTGGGGAGGTTGCTTTGTTTGGGGTGCCTTGCACATGCTAATCACGGGGCTACATCCCAGGTCACAAGGGATTCATGTGATTTTTTTTATAGCTTCACTTATGAAAGTGTCGAGAACTTACCAACACAGATTTTAAACTAGTTTCCAAATAATGCAATTCTCTACTAAATGGGAGGAGAGAGAGTGGAGAGCTGTATCTAAGTAGAAATAAAGAGGAATGGTCATTTGCTGATGTCTACCTAAAGGTTTGGCCATATACATGTATACATTTACATGTATGTAAATACATATATGTAAAAAATTAAAATGAAATTATACTCCTCAACTCATGGAAAAGTATCATCAATTCATGAAAGGTCCTCTTTTCCTTTTAATTTTCTACTTTCTATTGCATGTTTTCCTTATGTATGTGAGTGTGTGATATATGTCCTTAAGAAACACATGTCTTTATATGCTATTTATTGTTAGGTATGAATAAATGATTATATAAATAGTATTTTGCCATAAATCTTACTGTTACTTTTTAAAAAACTTACCACTAAAGATTTAAAACATACTCATGTTACTGGATTTACATTGGATGTATTGTTCCAACTACTGCATAATATTTTATAGTATGTTTCAGCCACATTTTATTTTTCCATTCCTCTAACAATGGACACCCACCATAAAGAATACCTTCATACTTATCTTTTTAGAAGCCTGAGGAATAATAGCTTTGGTGTGTATGTCTAGGAGAGGAATTGGGGGTCCACAGGACCTAAATGCCCTGTGTTCTTTATCAACCTCTCTTGCGTATTAGCAGAATCTACCCAATCCCACTTCCTACTCTAGCCATTGCTGCAGAGACCAAAACTAGGCCAGTAACAGGCTGCAAGCAGCTTGATGGTAGTGTAGCACAATGGTCTCTAGCCTTCATTTCTTGGCCTGGGACTTCTGTGTACAGAAACATCAAATACTCGGGGAACCTGCTCAGAACTCAGGTCTGCATGAAATGGGGAAAAGGGGTAACAGTTACAGGCTTACTCTTAACTTTTGAGAGATAGGAACCAAGGGGATTTCCATTCTATCCCAGGGAACAGTTTTGAGATAGTGTCTAAGGCTCTTACCAAAATCCCTGTACAGTGTGGTGAAAGTTGCCAGCATTAGTTACCAACTTGAGAAACATTCTTCTGTTGGTTTTTCCCTTCTTCCCTGTTTTAATCCCTTAGTCTGGCATCCTGTTCCTTATTATTTTTTGAATAAACAACCTGTAGGTTTGACTTGGACTCTACTTTCAGGGGCTAATAATACTTGTTACAACATTACCCCTAAGAACTGCCAGATTGCTTTCCAGAGTATCCACACCCCAATCATGGTAGAATGTGGATCAGAGCCTGGGCCGTCTCCAAACTTCAGAAGGCCACATTGTTGACAAGAGGCTTTGCATCTGCTTGGAAAACACACATGTAGCTAGTGTTGCTCCCTGTATAGGAGATGATCTGTAGATCAGTGCCTTTTTATTTTTTTAACACCTACTGCAGTTTCTCAAAATGCAGTTGCAACAAACATGCTATACTTATTATAAAATACCTCTCCAAAACATTTCTCTCTACCGTCTCATGATTCCTGATTTCTAATGCTTGACAGTGCAGGTTGTCATAAAACTGCCATAACAGAGTACTGAAAAAAAGTTTGCTTCTCAATACTTGTTAACACGGAAACATGATTTCTGCTTGCCAGTGAAGGGTGTTGCATCTCTAAAGACTCCTTACAACCTAGAATATCCACTTGTTCTATCACATTGTCACTTGGGTTTACTTGGGAGAAAATGATAATCACTTTTAGTGGACAAGTGTGGACAAGTGTCAATGATAATGCTTTTGTCTGTGTGTATGCCAAATCTCTTTACTAGATGTGTCATCATGAAACAAAGCACACATCATGACCATGTAGGAACAGAGAATTAGAGACACTTCCTTTAAGGAATGATGTTGTTTCTCATTTGGGAATAGCTTCTAAAATCTCATCATCCCCTTCTGCTTTTGTTGTGTGAACAGGTGGTTAATGCATACACTCCTGGAAAGAAGATTTGGCTGGAAGGTGTTGTGACCACCTCCGCAGGAGGCACAAACAATCTATCAGATTCCTATGCTGCAGGATTCTTGTAAGTAACACCTGAAATTTCTCTCCCAGGGGCTTTCAGAAAGGGAGGAGAGTGAAACTGTGGCATTGTGGGGCAAGGCCAAGTACTTTCTATATGTTTAATAATTTAACGACCAGTGAGATTGATGCTATTATTTTTATAATGAGACAGTGAGATCAATGCTAGTATTATGCTCATAATCTAGATAAAGAAATTGAAAGATAGAGGCAAAGTAACTTACCCAAAGCCACTCTTGGTTAGAAGCAGAGCCCAGATTTAAATGCAGGCAGTCTGCTCCAGAGTCAAGTGGCTTCAATTTCTCTACAATAAAGTACCTTTCTTCTGTCCCACATGGTCTTTCCATAGAAAGAAAGTGACAGACATGCAAAGGAATAAGGAATTTCTCTGACTGGGACTATCAGGAAAGGCTTTGTGGAGGAAGTGATATTTAAATGGGACACAGAAGGATTACTCTAATTTCATAGGTGAAGAATAGTAGTGACAGCAGAGGGAAGTATTTCATGCCAAAAACATTACAGGCACAGGAAAGGGGGCAATGATTAAGTGACTAAAGCTTTGTTATCTGTAGGAATATAATGATGGCTGAGGTTTAGAAAGAGGGCTTACTACCAGATCATAGAAGGTCTTGAAAACCAAGTAGAAGAAATGTGGCTCTTGTTCTACATCAAGCTACTGACAATTTTGGAGGAGAAGAGAGATACAATATGACTTGTGTTTTTGAAACAGTGGCTTCAGCAATAGTATGCACAGGAATTTGGAAGGCATGAGAAATGAACGTGAAGACTGGTGTAGTTGTCTGGAGAATGACTTAAGCCAGCAGAATAGGGCCTGTTTCTGACCTGCCAGTGTCACATGGTAGGGACAAACGTCTCACAACCACAGACTAACAGTATGACTTTCTCCTGGTCTACCCGAGTCCTTTGGCCCTGGCTTTCTGGATGAGCAGTGTTCTCCTTAGAACTGTAGCTTTGCCCTCAACTATGAGTTTTGCTCCTAACAGCTGTTCCTAATTATCCCCTCCACTGAAACAGCCTCTTTAATATATTCATGAAGGACAATTCAGGCCAGCCAAGTAGTTTGCCTTTACAGATGGAGTCCTGGCAAATGCAGATGAAGATTCCAGTCGGTGTAATTCATGGTGATACCTTGCGTCTTCCATATCTGTATCTTTAGCATCTAACATGTAGTATAGAGAAGTTGTCTAATAAGCATGATTCAAATGAATGAAATGAAGTAAATCAGCATACAATGTAATGCTGTGGAAAGTCTTCTTTCAAAAATACACTCCCCTTCTGGTTTGATATGAGCCCCAGTGCAAAGGTGAGAGGCCAGGTTGGGCCCTTTGGAAATCAGCCCCAAAATGTTCTTTGCTCAGGTATCACCAGATGACTGCTCTGAGGTCCAGAGAGCAGCCCAGTTGCTCTGAGTGATTTCATGAACATTCTTTACTTTAAGGAAAGATGTGAAATGAGAAATACCATAGACCTTCATGAAGGCAACTGGAACAGAGACCTGCCTTTTCATGAGCACCAACCAAATATCCATAGATCTCTGCATTCACTTCACAGCACACAGATAAACATAGTTTAGATTTGGGCTGTAGTTGAAATTCTCAATGTTTAGTTGACAGAAATCAGATAAAACTAGTTTGTTCTGCTCCTGGTCTTCTCCCTTCCTCCTTGTCATCTGTTTGATCTCAACTCCACTGGCAGCACACTGAAATGTACCCTATGAGTCTAGTTCTAAGGGGTATAAGCTGGTTCCTGGAAAAAAAAAAAGTAAAGCATTCTAGGAACCTCCAAGAGACTAGTAAGCAATAAATAAGATGGCATTTTCCCAGTGTTTTCCAACATCAAATAACTATGAGCTCACTAGGACACAGGCACACATGAATCAGAATTCTCCACTACCAGGGATTTAAAAGTAATTTTTCCCAGTCAGGACTTTGAGATTCTTTGGCATCCTGCAAATAAACCCTTGGTATGCTGCTGTGTCTCCAACACCTAGCAGTTTCTGGGATATAGTAGACATTCAATAAATAATTGTGGCATGAAAGATAGTAATTAAGGTAGCAATGGGGGAACACCAGCTATTTTTACCAACTGTCTCTACCTGAGCATAGAAGGGAGTCTTGAAAAACTCTTTCCCTCTCCCTGGGGGCTTATTATAACAGGAAGAAGATGAAGTTAACTTCAATACTAACCATTCTCCTCTAAAAGTGATGATGTAGCAGTGGTCCTGGCCTTAGTCATTTTTGAATTGCTGTACTGAGGTGCTGCAGGGATGTGGGTTTTGGAAAAACAGTGCATATTCTTCCCTCTCACTTCCTAGTTCCTTCAAAACCTGCCCATATGCTACCATTATTCAGGTTTACTAATTAACATTTATTTGTTGTGTATATATTCTGCATGTCATTGTGTTAGACTGTGTAGAGGTCACAAATAAGACTCTGATAGTGTTCTTATAAATGTATACACACAGATATTTACATGTCCAGTGTTTAGCAATGACTTACATTGTCGCACAAGCATTTTGTATGTATCCCCAATGCCAAGAATAATGAATAGGATTTACACCTGATTAATTAACATTATTAAATAAATAATAAATGCCTAAACAAATGGGATCATTTCAAATACAAAAATACCAAGATACAGTCCTGTATTGATATACAGAGGTTGCTAAATTGAAGGACTCACATACGTGTTATTGGCTATTTACTCAAATGTTTTGCTTCTTTTTTCATTGAACAAGTATAAGAATAGGAGGTAAAAAGCCATATTTATTTTTACAAATAAATTATTGTTAGCTATATATCCAATTGTATTTTTGCTTTTTCAACATGAGAACACTGATTTAGGATGTATTAGCCTAGGATTCATGATTTATTTCTACCACAGGGCATTGTTTGACAAGTTACTTACTATTGTGCCTCAGTACTAAAGGAAAAGCTTAACCTGTTATCCTGATTTCATAGGGTTGCCAAATTCATAAAAATAATAAAGGCAAGTAGCTTAGCCATGTGATGTTCCAAAAGTAATTTCCATTCTCTGGGTCACAATGTCCCAATCTGGACAAAAACAAACACTAAAAGGTTCTGCTATATTATAGCCAGATTTTCCTTTTGATTTAAAACTTTTGTTTTTGTGTTTGGCTTTACTTTGCTTTTCACTGTGTTTTTGTAACTCTAATTGTCACTAAATGTGTTAGTTTTCATGAGAATAAAATAAAATTGTAAATGTGAAAAAGATTTGAAAATTTGAACAATATTTATTCATAAAATAAGAATTAACAATGCTCTTTATTCCAACAAGGAAAAAAACTTAATTCTTCTACAAGTCACGAGTTTGGAGTTCCATATGGTTTCAGATTTGGGAAATCATAACTGTGTGTAATTTTTCCCATGTGCTGAATGGTGATTCTCAAAGTTCTTAGAATCTAATTTTATCCAGATAAATCTCAACCTAAAGAATACTGAGCACCTCCAGTGTACTAGGAACTGTGAGAGGTGTTTGGGGTATAAGTTCAAATGCGTCTGTGCTTGATGAGCTCATAACTAATGGGAGAAGGTAGAAAAATAAGTGACTCTGATCCAGTGGGCTAGCAGAGGACATAAATAAATAAAAGTTCTGAGGAAGTGGAGAGGAAGGTGCTGCAGAGATTAGAAGTGGATACCTGACTTGGAGATTAATAAATAAGAAATTTGCTAAAGGAAAAGAGATGGGTAGAGAAGGATAGGAAGGAAATTCTAGCAGAAGTTAAAACATGTATGAAGATTCAGCTAAGTCAAGAAAGTATTGTGTATTTGGCTACTCAACAGTAGTTTTATGTAGCTTAGAGCCTGTGGAGAATAAGGTTTAAGGTAAGAAGAGAGGGGAGATGAGGCGATAGATAAAACTAGACATACATATTCTTGGGACAGACTGTAAAATGCCTTATCTTTCATGTAGACATTGAATCTCTAAATCACATTTATTACACATGTACTATATTATTACAAGTTTTCCTAAGATTCAGAGGTGGGAATACAGAGAGAGAAAAAAATGAATGATGAATGAATTGTAGGCATAAATTGCAAAGGCAGAGTCAACAGTGAGTGTTGGAAGAACCAAGAGGACAATAGTTTCAAAGGACAACATGCTCTGGAAAGTAGCTATTTGGCCTAGTGGGGTGTGTGACCAGTGCAGGTCATCCATTGCAACATATGTGTGATGGTGGTATACTTGAACTCCTGAATAGCTTATTATAGTGCCCAGGAAAATTATTGTTTCTGACTATTGACAGTCTTATATATGAAATGCAAATGACTGGACTACCCTCATATAGGTCACAGGTTAAAGTCCCAAGGAAGATACATGTCCGTTAACAGAAGTGCAAGCAGAGAAATTTGAGGATGAGCTGTACAGAGTACATTCTAGATAGTATGTATGTCTGTGGCCAGGGTAGAGAGCATTAGACTTACGAGTGGCTAGGAGGTTCACTTGTTTGTATTCTATCACAAAACATGTTATTAACAACAATGATTTTGTGACCAAGGATACTTCATTTTACTTCCCAGACCTCAGTTTCTTTTCCTATAAAATAGATTAAGTTTGATAATCTTTGAAATCTCTTATACTTGTGTATTCAATACTTAAAATAATTTTCTCCTTTAAAGTCTTTAGGTAAATTTGATGGTAGAAGATTAGTGTTTGTATGTCATAATTGATCTGTTTAGAGTTTATTAGATACCATTTAAAAACTATCCTGATGTAGCTTTTTTCTCTGCCTTTTAGATGGCTGAACACTTTAGGAATGCTGGCCAATCGGGGCATTGATGTTGTTATACGGCATTCATTTTTTGACCATGGATACAATCACCTGGTGGACCAGAACTTTAACCCGTTACCAGTAAGTGTGGGACGAAGACTCCTAACTGCTTTTCTGTATCGTCCAGTTCTGTTGATCATGCCTTTTTCCACTCTAGGAAAATTTCTCTCCTTTTTGTGTTTCCAACTAATTTCATAAACCAAGCAGAAGCATCTTGCATTTGTTTCCTTGACCCATTTCACAGACTTTGGGCTTCACCATACACACACACCCCTATTTTGTAGACACACATCTACATATACATATGCATGCATGCATATACATATATGGACATTTATGTGCAAATATTTATATATTTATTACTATTATTTTAAGAAACCTTGTGCAATTGAGATTCCACATCTACTTGTGGCCTGTTTGAACTCTGCTTGAGAGTAAATTTTCCCAGCTTGTTTTCTTTTAATGCTAATAGGAGACATTAGTTAACGTCAAATGTAGCATGTTGAAAGCAGATGGAGGGAGTGTTAGCCAAGATTAGATACAGTAGGAGTCCATCTCTTGGGGAGTGGCTGAAATGCACTTACAGTTAGATGTTGACTCCTATGTGACAATGAGGGGACAATTTGCCCAAAACACCACCTTCTCTAGGAAAGAAAAATGAAGAGAAAAATAAAGGAAAATGGCAAGCATGGAGTTCTTAGTTTGTCTAGTGACTTTATTGACTAATCTGAGAACACCAACTTATTCCAAAAAAGCTATGTATTTCACAAATACTACATGTTTTAGTGGGTTTTTTTTTTTATCATAGCCATGATGAAAGGTCAGACTCCTCTCAACAACTCGTAGGATTTCAGAGCTGGGGCTCCCCTTTGAAGCGATCCAATTCTGCATCTTTTAATCTAAGGGACTTAGAGTCTGAAGCAGGATAGGGAAGAGGGGATTAGAGCCAGTCTTAGACTTAGGGAAGGAGTTTTCAGTTGGGAACCATAGGGGTTTGTTTTATATTGTTTTATCTCATATATCTGTGTAAGTAAAACAAAATAATTAGAAAAGTATCTATGAAATTTCAGCATTAAACAAATATGAGATAACATCTATAAACATAAGTAAACATTTATTGAACATCAGGTACTGGGGAGGAAACTGTAATAGATAAGTGAATGAATAAATAATTCTGTGTGGGCTCCTCTAGATGCATGTGCAGGAAGGGTCTCCCTGAAAAGGTGACAGGGTAGACAGGGCCCAATGACAGTAAGAAGCCAACTATGCCAACTTCAGAGAACTTTCCAAGCAGCAAAGATGCTAACCAAAGCCTCCAGGACAAAAGCAAACTTGGTATGTTCATAAAAACCCTAGAAGACCAGAGTGCCTGGGGCATGGCAGGGAGGCAGGAGACACATTAGAAATGAGGTAGGTAGGGGCCAGATGACACAAGGGCAGTTTGGTTTGTATGGTGAGGAGTCTGAAAAGCCATTGGAGGGCTTTCATCAGGGAAGTAACGCCATCTAACTTACATTTTTAAAAGATCACCCTAGTATGATTAATGCATTGAGTGTTAGTTGCCATTTTTTTAATTTTCTTATTCATATGTGCATACAAGGCTTGGATCATTTCTCCCCCCTGCCCCCACCCCCTCCCTTACCACCCACTCCGCCCCCTCCCTCTCCCCCCTACCCCCTCAATACCCAGCAGAAACTATTTTGCCCTTATTTCTAATTTTGTTATAGAGAGAGTATAAGCAATAATAGGAAGGAATAAGGGTTTTTGCTGGTTGAGATAAGGATAGCTATACAGGGAGTTGACTCACATTAATTTCCTGTGCGTGTGTGTTACCTTCTAGGTTAATTCTTTTTGATCTCACCTTTTCTCTAGTTCCTGGTCCCCTTCTCCTATTGGCCTCAGTTGCTTTTAAGGTATCTGCTTTAGTGTCTCTGCGTTGAGGGCAACAAATGCCAGCTAATTTTTTAGGTGTCTTACCTATCCTCACCCCTCCCTTGTGTGCTCTCGCTTTTATCATGTGCTCAAAGTCCAATCCCCTTGTTGTGTTTGCCCTTGATCTAATGTCCGCATATGAGGGAGAACATACGATTTTTGGTCTTTTGGGCCAGGCTAACCTCACTTAGAATGATGTTCTCCAATTCCATCCATTTACCAGCAAATGATAACATTTCATTCTTCATGGCTGTATAAAATTCCATTGTGTATAGATACCACATTTTCTTAATCCATTCATCGGTGGTGGGGCATCTTGGCTGTTTCCATAACTTGGCTATTGTGAACAGTGCTGCAATAAACATGGGTGTGCAGGTGCCTCTGGAGTAACCTGTGTCACAGTTTTTTGGGTATATCCCCAAGAATGGTATTGCTGGATCAAATGGTAGATTAATGTTTAGCTTTTTAAGTAGCCTCCAAATTTTTTTCCAGAGTGGTTGTACTAGTTTACATTCCCACCAACAGTGTAAGAGGGTTCCTTTTTCCCCGCATCCTCACCAACACCTGTTGGTGGTGGTGTTGCTAATGATGGCTATTCTAACAGGGGTGGGGTGGAATCTTAGTGTGGTTTTAATTTGCATTTCCTTTATTGCTAGAGATGGTGAGCATTTTTTCATGTGTTTTTTGGCCATTTGAATTTTTTCTTATTGAAAATAAAAAAAAGATAAGAATACAAATAAAAAACAAGTAAATGAAAGAAATATCTATATATAAAAATAAAATAAAATGAAAAATAGAAAATTAAAAAAAACCCAAAAACCCAAAAAACCAAAAAACCTCCAAGTTCAAATGCAATAAAGTTTCAGTCTTAATAATTTGGGTGTCCATCTCAGTCTCCATTCCTGGAGATGGTGCCTCAGATGTTGTTCTGTAGTTGTCTCATCAAAGGGAATGCATAAAGTGGAACAAAACTACACACACACACACACACACACACACACAAATCCCACCAAGTGTCCCAAGTTCAAATGCAATACAGTTTCAGTAAGTTTTTCAGCATGCAGGTGTAATTCGGTTGTTCTCTCATCAAATGTAGGGAGAAAAAGAGAATAAAAAAAAAAAAGAGTCTGGAGACAGTTCTGAGAATGCGGCTGTGTCTTGCCTGCCCACTGCTGTCAGCCTGCTGTTGCTAGAGGTGTTATTTATGCAGATCTCTGGGGTGAGCTTTGTACTCACCTGGCCCTGCAGACTTTGTTTACTCAGAGTTCTCCTGTGTGTGAGCCTCTGCTACAAGTTTCCCCTTTCCAAGCACACTGGAAAGGTGACACTGCACCCACTTTCTCAGGCCTGCATGTTTATTTACAGTTCATGTGGGAAGTGGGTCTTCCCCCCTCTCCTGTGCAGTTTTCCTCCCACTGCCACTTTTACAAGCTGTCCTGCTTCTGATTACTGGGCAGTGCTGCTGTGCCTGCCAGCTGCCATGTTTGTTTACAGCTCACGTGGGAAGTGGGTCGTCCCTCCTCTCCTGTGGAGTTTTCCTCCCTCTACCACTCTCACAAGTTTCCCACTCCTGGTTGCTGGGCGCGCGCCCCTGCTTCTGCTGGAGCCTCTTCTGCCCACCCAGCTTGTTTATTCACAGTTCCGGGAAGGATTCCCTTCCTTAATCTTTGGTGCTCAGTGCACCCCACCCTCTTTCCCACGTGCCTTTATTGTTCTTATTGCTTATTACTCAGTTTCTCTTTTTTCCCCGGGTGGAGGTTGGTCTGTCCAGGGGGCTATGCTGCTCTGGCCCAGGCTTGTCTGTGGGAGTACCGCGGTACCGCATCTTCCCAAGCCGTCTGGGCACGGGCGACTGGTGGCCCAGGGGCCCTCCTGGTTTCCCCGTTTAATGTGAAGTGGAGATTCTCTGCACCGGCTGGAGGTGTGGAGGGGTCAAAGTTATGCCTCTTCTCAGTGATCATGCCTGCAAAGTGTGTCTCCAGCGCCTCTCCAAGATTTCACTATAAGAGGCTCACTTTCTGCTTCCTCCCTCTAGCCACCATCTTCTCTTCTCCCTCTAGTTGCCATTTTTAATAATATAGATTGCCTTTAACAATTTACAGACTACTTCTATAAATGGTACATCAACAATTTCCCCAAAACTCTATCCTCCCTTCCCTCTTTCCATCCTTTTTCTTTTCTTCTCTTCTTTCCATTATTCTTTCCTTTCTTCACTCAAGGTTCATTCACTCTTCTTAATCATATACTGTGTGCTGGTTGCTATTCCTGGCAATGGGCCACTGTGGTTCCTGATCTCTTGGAGCCTATAACGTAGTGCAGAATACAGAGAAATGGAAAACAAATAAACATTGGAACAAGATAATTGTAGTTGGTCATAACTGCTGAAGAAAGTCTGGTGAGATAAATGACTTTATTTATTTTGCTGAGGAGAAACTAAGGTTCTAGGAGGTTATCAAGTGAATATCCAATGCCAGATGAGCAGTAAGAGCTGGAAATCTCAGTTTTGCAGCTCTAAATCCTATTTTCCTAAACTTGTACTTCATTATTTCTTAGAATAGTCTCTTAGGTGTCATTACAGTGGCCCAAGGCAAATTCTACCTTAGAGTTGAGTCTGAAGATAAAAACAGGACTGTTGGGGAACTGGAGAGAAGAAAACAGGCCTGACAAAGTTGATTTTTGAAAGACTAGACAGGCTTCATTTCCAGAGCTGAACAAGTCTGGATACCTTACCAACCCTACGTGTACCTTTGTACAACCATGTATAAGTTAAAGACATGAATTCTCATGACTTTGTTCTCTCCAAATGAGAGTTATTGCCAGTGACTTCCTTTAAAAGCATGGCACAAAATATCTCAGGTGATGCATGGTGGTAGCAGAGATCACAGAAGTCCATATGAAGCTAAAACAAGTTCCATTGATTTAGCACAGAGGCTTAAATAAGCTGGGCAGCTGTAATAAAGAAACTGTATGTAAAATTATTTTAAAAGGTAGCAGGCTTTCTTTTTCTATCTTTCCTTGTAGTGATAAATTCTGTGCCTTATAAGTAGGGAACTTGGCAGCTGGGACACTATGTCCTAATGTCTCCCCTGGAAAGAATTTACAAGGCTAGACCAGGGCACCAAACTGACAGACATTGCCAGCAGGTCCCT